AATTTTATAATGTACTAAATTTGTGACTACATTAGCATAATCCATTACTCAAACTTAAATTAAGACTGTAAAATAGCATACAGATTGTCAAATTGAGCATACGAAATATTGCGAAAGTTACATCCGTAATTTTCAATACAAAGACCAGAGAATAAACGATCTAAAATTATTTTACAAAGTGTTAAAAGTTTCTCGACCGTAACAGTTCATGGCTGACCTTGTTTGCTTTTCCGCTGGACAAGTTATTAAATCAAAAGAACATTGCAATCAGACGAGCGTCGGAACTCGAACCGGCAGACAGCATATTACATTCCGTTCTGCCATTCAAGACAGCATGGTACATTTTAATGGATAATTAATATTCCAATATATACACGGAAATTAAATAATGTTGTATTAACAGCATCATTTTTTGTACCAACAGCATCAGTGTTATCGAAATAAAATTTATTGATGCAACATCAATATTAACGAACAAAAAACATCAGATAATTGTTTTAATAATTTAAATATTTGGTCCAATAATATCCATTTGAATTAACTACTTATGCTTGTGGCAGTCCGTAACGTTAACGTTTAATTAAAGCAACTTAATTTTTGTCGTGTATATTCAATTAACTAAGCTACTAACACTCTTATCGAGCATGTAAAGAAATAATTTTCAGAATATTCAGTTTTTTATATGGAAATTTTTAATAAAAAATATAAGTATATCTTTTTTGCGGAATTTGTATGAATGTAATACTTTGTGGGTTCTTATATATAGATGAATTATACATCATCTACATCAACATATATTTTCCAAATAATTTCAGATTATGTGTACGTATTTGGATTGCAAGCGATGTGAGCAACGAAGAACTGCAACATATCAAACCTTTTGTTAGTAATTAATTTGTGAACGCACTGAATAAAATATTTGACATTTATATACTTTATTATGTTACTCTATTATGTTAAATATTTCGTGTCGATTATGTGTGTGTGCGCATATCCTGGCAAGGTCGAGTGCTTATTTTTTGGTACACCATGATATCACATGGCTCTTCGGTGATTAGAACTCTCCCACGAATACGACAAACAGACGCGGTAGTAGTGGCTCCTTTACCCAAGGAGTTGAAAACTTAACGAGGAAACTAACTATATTCGTTGCACTATGTAGACGAATACGAAAAATAGCTTCTTTATCGCCTATTCATTCATTTTCTGTCAGAGGCGCCCTTACAACTTTTTTCGAGAAGGGGAGGGCAGAATGCTAATATTATACTTATAAGAATACCATTTTTGTTTAGGTTGTAAAGAACTGAGAGTTAAGAAATAAGATATTTAATTTGGTATAAACTAAAAAAACTTTACAAATTATAGAGTATAATTTATTACAAAACAATTAAAAATAATTATTCAGAAAAAGCAAATTTCAAATGTCTTGAATTTCTTGACTTCCAGGAGGTTGATTAATCTTGAACCGAAGTAAAAAATTACAAAAGTGAACAGATTTAATAAATTTTGATAAATTAAATCGTAGGGGAGACCGGGGCTATTATAGTCACACGGATAAGTTGTCACAAAAGCTTATATCTCACTTAACAGATTAAGTGGAATATTCTTCTTTATAGTGTAGGTTGCTCCTATTGTGTTAGTCGGATGTACGAAATAGCTCGTTTCAAAAACATCGCATGTGATAATTACGAGCACTTTTTAAAAATTGGAGGTTGTGAGTAAATTTTTCTTGCCTCTATTTTTACTGTTCCGATTTTTGGAATTACACTAGTCGTAATTTCTTTTTGGTCATAAGAAATATTATAGTTTTAGATCATTTTTCCTGTATTTAGTTAATCGTCATTGCAACATAGTTTATATAATTTTCTTTGTTCAAAATGACTGTTCGAAGTAAGTTGTCTCAAATGAGATGGGATTCAAAGTTTATGAGAATTATTATTCTTTTATTTACTTAAAGTTTATGAAAGTATTATACAGTTTATGAGAATTATTATTTTTTCATTTACTCTATAAAGTTTATGAGAATTATATTACAATTAAAGTTTATGAAAATGATTAATTTTTCGTTTAATTCATGCTGCAATATATTATTAAGTTAAATTTACCAAAAACTGGCACTAACCTTAATAAAATATTAAGGTGGTTCATGCATTTAGGTCAAATGCAGTTAGTCCGGAAAATGTGATATGAAATGAAAGATTAACGTTCCTAGAGTGTGTCTGTAAAATTTCGGATTTTTTAACCGTTTGGTTTCGGAGATATACGGGGTGCGAGAAAAGTCTGGAAACGGTCAAATATCTCGAAAACAAAACGTTTCTGAGAAAAATGTTTCGAACCAAAGTTGTAGGGTTTAAAAAGTTCTATTCAATGATCATATCCGTTTGACCTTGAGTGGAGGCGTCAAGGCGAGGTCAAGACCAACCTAATTTTTTTAAATAGAACACCCCATTTTTTATGACACAGTATTAAAGGTAGCAGCGAGACGTTTCCAAAACACTACTTGAAAACCTATTTTCGTTGAGAATTGCCTGAGTTATGAGCTTTAAAATTTACGGTGCCGCCAGCATTAGTATTATCCAGGATGTACCGCGTGGAGGTTGCATGGTCGGACTTTACACCCCTGTGTGTGTGTGTGTGTGTGTGTGTGTGTGTCAGCAGAGATAAGGACCCCGCGGTTCGTCACTCCCGCAGTATTTAATGACTCCAAACCCTCTCTGCTCTGTGTGTGTGTGTGTGTGTGTGTAGACGGGTTTTTATTTAATTAAGTGTTCAAATTGTCTTCCGTCTGCTGCTTGACAATGACCTAATCGTAAATAAAATTCGTTTAAAACGTTTCGTCTCATTTCTGGTGAGATAAGATTTATTTGGTGCAGTATGCGTTCCCTAAGGTCTGCCAAGTTAGCAGGTTTCGTTGCGTACACATTGTTTTTAACATACCTCCATAAAAAGTAGTCCAATGGAGAAAGATCTGGTGATCTAGGGGGCCACTCTATTTCTCCACGTCTTCCTATCCATCGGTTTGGGAAAGTATCAGTTAAAAATTGACGCACTACTACTGCATAGTGTGGCGGTGCACCATCTTGTTGAAACCAAATATTTTGTATATTTCCGTGAAACAAATTGTCAATAGCAGGAACTATTTGATTTCGCAATAATTGTAGATAAGTGTTCGCATTTAAATTTCCTTCGATAAAGAAGGGCCCGATAATACCACGTTCGCAAAAACCCGCCCACACGTTCAGTTTTTGGGGATACTGTGTGTGGAGATCACGCATCCAGTGAGGGTTCTCGTCACTCCAATAGCGGCAATTCTGACGATTTACCGTTCCATTTAATTCGAAAGAAGCTTCATCGGAAAAAATGATATTATCAAGAAAAGTGTTATCATTATCGCATCGACGCATCATTTCATCGCAAAACTCATTTCTTCTATCGAAATCACATTCCGTTAGCTCCTGAGTAAATGTTATTTTAAAAGGATGCCATTTTTCTTTCTTTAGAATTTTACGAATGGAAAATGTACTAACTTCAGTTGCCTGTGCTACCTTACTTGTCGAAGCATGAGGATTTTCTACAAATGATTGCATCACATCCAAACTTTTATCAAAATTTGTCGCTGATTTTGGTCTACCACTCCGCGGGCGATCCTTGACAGATCCCGTTTCTTCGAATCGTCTGACAGTTTTTTGAACTGTAGACTTTGAAATTGGTTCACGATCTGCATAAGTATCATTAAACAAAGTCGCTACTTGTTCGAAGGACCTAACGCGGTCACCATATCCTCGCATCATCAATATTGTAATTCTTTCCCTTTCAGTCAATACCATGTTGGCGACTACTGAAGGTAATCTCTTACTTTGCAAAAGAAATTACTTTGACTTGATATACTACGAACAAGGAATTTGTTACTTGTATGACGAATACGATCTAGTAATGTGGTCGGGACTAAGAGAAAGAGGAAGAGAGACGGGGCTGTGCAACAAACGCGCGCGACGTAATATCATTCAAATGTCACACGCGCGTGATAAACAAATGTCGCGTACAAGCAGCGTGAAAAAAGCCGTCGCATCGTGTCGTCGTCATCGTTGTTGTCGCCGCCGCCGTCATCGTCGTCGCTACCTTTTTTGCAACGACACCAAGTAAATCTTATCTCACCAGAAATGAGACGAAACGTTTTAAACGAATTTTACTTACGATTAGGTCATTGTCAAGCAGCAGACGGAAGACAATTTGAACACTTAATTAAGTAAAAACCCGTCTACACACACACACACACACACACACACACACACACACACACACACACA